GCTACTGGACGCCATACTGCTCCCCGACCCCGGCCGGCCACTGTCCGCCGCGCCCCGCCCGCTACGGGCCGCCGCCCGGGACAATCCGCCTCACCACGCCCCCTGCCGGCCGCCGCAGCCCCTGCGGGCCGCTTGGGGAGGGGCCACGTGACCGGTAGCGGCGTTTCAGCCCCTGTGCACTGGGCGGTCAGTCCTGGCAAAGCTGCTCAAGGGGACGATGGTGTTTAAGGATGCATTTCGGAGCCGTGCTAGTCTGAGACTAAAAGAAATGCAGAATTCTAAAACCCGCCTCACCACGCCCCCTGCCGGCCGCCGCAGCCCCTGCGGGCCGCTTGGGGAGGGGCCACGTGACCGGTAGCGGCGTTTCAGCCCCTGTGCACTGGGCGGTCAGTCCTGGCAAAGCTGCTCAAGGGGACGATGGTGTTTAAGGATGCATTTCGGAGCCGTGCTAGTCTGAGACTAAAAGAAATGCAGAATTCTAAAACTCTCGTTCCAGAGATGGTACCTTTTCTCAGAACAAATAACAAATCGAAAAAAAAAAAAAAAAGATTTCTTTGCAAGCTGTTGGGCACATGCGCCCATTTTGGAGCAGCTCATTGGTGCAGCCTAGACAAAGCCCAAGTCGTTCTGAGAGTCTTAATCAACTTTTGGGTGTTTTTTTTTAAATTATTTAAATGTTCTATATTTCAAGCCAAATTAGCCAAAAACAAATTCCCAATCCATGAGTCAGTCCAGAACCACAGGTGGCCCTACTACCAGCAAACATCCTCCAGATGTTTCCAGAACCTTTGGTGGGAGTCCTACTTGCAGGCCCAAAACCGGAGGCTTGGAGATCAAATGCCCCCAAGTTTTGCATGCCCTCAGCCATAAGGCCCAGGAGCAAGCTAGGGAGGAGTCTCCCCTTTCCATGAAGTGGGCATAAAGCCAAGACCGTCCCACTCCAGCAGCTATATACATTACCTTGGCAGGTACTATCCGCATGCCAGGACAGCAGTCTTCCCTGGGTGCAATGAGGAAGACAGCCTTAGTGGTCACAGTGTTTCCCTTGCCAGGTAAACATAGGACTATGCTTGATCTGAGCCCACAAAAGGCTGAGACCAACTTTTAGGTTTCCTGCCAGTATTTTCTTATGACTCCTTGCCTCCAAATAAAAAAATGCTTTAACTTTGATGACCCAGTTCTCACTCACTCACTGCAGATTTATAGTGAGCAATATAAAGTAAATGAGAGTGCTTGTTTGCATGCTTAGTTGCATGCTTTTTTGCATATTTTTCTGCGTATGAGTTTTTCAGTAAATACAATTTTTTATTTCCAATACAAAAATTTCATATTTAAGACCTGGTAACACTGCACGTGACTGCCCGCACCCGCAAGGTTGAGCAGGCCCACAGCCCGGCTGCCCAGCAGAGCAGCAGGCATTGCAGCGCTACATCACTAGGAATGGTGCACATAGCCAGTGCACAAGCCCGAGGTACTGATGCTGCACTGGGTCAGTGCAGGGGGCGGGGGTGCTGGGGCAGGCAGGGCCTGGACGCTTCGCTCTCCGGACTTGAACAAGGCAGAGCTTTCCCATAAAGCCCCAGCAGGACTTGTCCAAACCCTCCTCCAGGCAGCGAGGTCCTGGGGGAGAGGGGACCTTGGCTTCTGGGTTCTAGCCTGGGTCCCCCCTGGAAGTGCCATGAGCCCTGACCGGTCACTACACCTGCCTGGGCCTGTCGCCTTCCCCTCACACTGCCTGGCCGCGCACCCTGAGCTCAGCCTGGCCCTGCAGCCCACTCACATGGCAGCAGCAGGACCTGGGTTGGCCTGCATTCAACCTAGTGATGGAGCATGGGGCTGAATTGGAGCATCATCCCGTCTGCCTTGTCTATTATGCTCCTAGGAGTCCAGCCGGTTATGCCCACTTCAAGGTTTTGCAATTCAGCGGCGGCCTGTCTGCCCCTTGGCTGTTGTAAGCTGCTCTGTTTAAGTTTTGATGGTGATGCCTGCTTTTGCCTGGCCATGAGTGTGCACACCCCGGCATAACTGCCCACACAGGTCTTCTCCCAGGCTTGGATCCACAGAAAAGGTTTCTTGCCCCCTGGTGCTCCATCATTCACAGTAGAATTAAGGAGGAATGTGCTACTGGGAAGAAAAAGAAATGGTGCGTTGGCATTGTCAATAATACTACAACCGTGCGGGGGAAAACACTGCAGAATTAAGTTCTTCATTTTCCATGTTTGAATAGGTGGGTGCAGCACTAATGCTTGCCAACTGCTGCTCCTCTTGAAGCAGCCTTTTGACTGTTGCTATGGCTACCTCAACCACCAGATGTCAGGCCAGCCTTAACAATGAATGCATAATGTCTCCATTAAAGAGGCAAGAGGGGACTATACATTTAAAGCTTATGGCGAGGGGGCAAAGTGTGTAGGAATAAGTTATTGTCACTAGTTAAATGTGATGATTAGTAGCATAGGGGCCGATTTTTATTTTTGCTGGGGGGGCCTAAGATGATGCCCCTCCCTCTCCTCCTGGTGGCATGGCCGGAGCAGAGTTGAGCAGAGCCCGTGAGAAGGCAGGGGTGGACGCAGGCTGTCCTCTGCGGCATTGGGCCCCCTGCCCTTGTGTCCTCCCCCCAGGAGCCCCACACTGGCTGCACCGCCATGGCCAGGCACTCCCTACCTTCCTGGCAGCAGCAGAGGGCACAACCCCACATTGCTGCCAGGTGGGTGGGGGGGCCATGGCAGTGCAGCTGGCGCAGGGCTCCTCGGAGGAGGGTAGCAGGGAGCCCCAAACCCACAAACGGGCAGCACACATCTGTCCCCACCCCATGCACAAATCTGAAAGACACATGCCCCCCATTTCCCCTTCCCCAGGAGTGTGCGCAGTGGCAGGGGGGCACCCCAGACAAGCCACTCATGGCTCTGTCCTGCTGCCAGACCTGGGCCCCATGCATCGCCCTGGCTGGGCAGCGTTCCCTAGCCCCTACCCCACTCCCTCCCTAATCATGGGGGCCTTGATCTGCTCCACCACCCCATAGACTTACTTGCAGGCAGCTGGGGTAGCTGTTCTCCACCACTGCCTGGGGCTGTATTCCTGGCCATGCGCATGTGCACATGCACACACATGGCGCCTCCTGTGTCCCACTCCCCACAACCTCTTGCAGGCTGGAAGTCACAGAATCATAGAATCATAGAAGCAGGGTCGGAAGGGACCTTGTAGATCTTCAAATCCAACCCCCTGCCTGGGCAGGAGGGAAACTGGGCTCAAATGACCCCAGCCAGGTAGGCATC